CTCTGTTTCCGTTGCATACAGCCTAGTGGCTGGTATCAATGGCACAGCTCAATAAAGAAGAGCTTTCTTTTGTTGAGGATCTTCCTCAGCATGTGGAGATAGAGTGTCCAGTTTGTCTTAATATCTTGACAGATCCTCATCTGGTGAGCTGCTGTGGACATAATTTCTGTAGGACCTGCATTGAGAGAGTAAAAGCTAGTAATGGATCCTGTCCTATGTGTAAAGAGAAGGAATATCAAGCAATACCTGACAAGAAGTGTTCACGTATTATCAATGGATTGGAGGTCTACTGCAGTAATAAGGAGAAAGGATGTGAATGGAAAGGAGAATTGAAGAATATGTCTACTCATCTTAATAAAGAGAAGAGAGAAGGAGAATGTCAATATCAGCCAATAGATTGTGTGTTTAGTTGGGCTGGTTGTAATGATAAGCCATTACGTAAAGATGTACATGTACACACTGCTGATACTAAACACATGACACTATTAGCTGTAGCTTGTGGACAATTGAAGAAAGAAAATGAACAAATAAAACTTTTGGAAGAAAAGAATCAGAAACTGAAAAGTGAAGTAGATAAACTAGAAAAACATGTAGAAATTTTGAATAATGAAAACACAATTTTAAAGGATTTTGTTCTCAATAATACCAAAGCTGATAATTCATATCCATTATTACCAGTTGATGTTACTGAAGGAAGACCAGCAGTTCATTTTTATACGAGTACATGTGGTCGACACATGTCAGCTAGACTGATGAGAGGGGACAGAAATGTCACAGACAGGACTGTACATTTCTTCATATTACTTGCATTTCATGAAGGAAAATTTGATAAATTGAAACCAAAACTTAGAAAGGTGTTTACAGATTTTACAAATGAAGCTACTCCATTAATAGAAGACACTGAAGCTACTCATCAACAGTTACCTACTGATATTCTTAATGGGATTGAGTTGAGAAGTGGTGATGCTACTGTGCCAGAAGGAGTTATTAAGATAACATTAGTCTTATCATGGTTTTCAGCCATTTTACGCCAGGTCAATGTAGTGGCACAGTTATACAATAGTGATTGATTCATCTTCCTTTACTCCTCTTCCTCTGTCTATTGTTAGTTTAGTTGATATGTATATAGTTATGTTTTATTTTATAATAATAATTTACAACTTTGATCAGTGGCTTATTGTATATTATATTGATTGATGATTGGTATTATTTTAAAACTAGTTTTGCTCAGTTTTGCTTGCCTCAATTAGTTTATGTCATTTTACAAGAATATTAATCTCTTCCTAGAGTACATCATAACCAGATCAGCACTTCTAAGCTCCTCCTACCAGTGATTGATTCATTGCGTGTTCACATTACAGCCAGTATTGATACACTGAGAGTAAGGGACACTGTAGTACTAGAGTACATGAATAATGATCTCTCCTCATATTAGGATGTGTATGGTTACAATCTGTACAGTATGAGACAGCTTCATAGAGATATTGCAGTGACCAGCAGTACTGGCAATACATTCACTGATGTATCCATTGATAGTAAGAATAAGAGGAAGAAAAGATCAAGACTGCAACAATAATTTTAATAATAATTAATTTTAACTGTAATTGAGGACATTAATATTGTAATTATAGTAATGTTTATTTTATTTGTAATCATTCAATAGCATTTCTTATTATAATAATAATAATAATAAATAATTTCACACTTCATTATTTGCAACCCTCCAAAAAACCAGTTACTTATATGATACATTTTGATTAATGATAAGGTATATGGGGTCACCTGAGTTGTGATGTAATGATTAGTAAGAAGAGAGAGGGAGAGAAAGAAATGAGAAGAAGGGTTGCTTCAAACTTATACTTATCTCTCCATAGTATCTCCAAACTGGAAATTTTGTGTTGTGTCTGGTAGTACTACACTAATCAAGGTTGCTTTTGGAGCTATTTGCACTCAATTTTGATGGTACAATGTTGT